GAGACTCTGGGTCCAAAGCTGGGTGTTCCCCCTTTTCTTCCCTTCAGTTCTGACCTGCCAGAGTCATCATCAGAGTGATATGACTGGGAGGGGAAACCCGACACAACCCAAAGGCTGTCAGGGCAAGAGGAAGAGGGCTTCTTCCCCCCCCACACACAAAACCACTTCTCTTTCTCACACAGTCCACACCTTTTCAAAGAGGAATGAGAACTTCCCTCCCATGGCCTCCAGTGGAAAAATAAATGAATGAGATGCGTTTGCCAGATTGGGATCAAGGGCAAATGCCAAACCCAAAGTGGGCGGCTCTTGACCAGTTCTGGGTGATTGTTGAAGTGAAGTGGAATTCACACCAAAGTCACCACAACTGAAGCTGTAATAGGGTTTCTACCTGCTGGGAAAGCCCACGAATGTATCTGCACTATAGTACTTTGTTACTTCCATTTGATTCCCTCTTTGACTGCTATGGGTGCAGCCTGGGATTTGCATTGTATTGAGGTTCTCAGCCTTTTTCAGGGGAGAGCACTCTTTCCCGGTTCTAAGGGCCTCATCAAAGGGCCAATCTCAAAAGATTCCTTAGGAGAGAGCCATGACAGTTAAAGTTGTATCAGAATGCTGTAACTGCATAGTGTAGTTAGAAACACTCAAAATGTACCATCCATATTTGAAGACAATCTGAAGATAATACTCCCGGTTTATTGAAAACAGGGAAAACACTAAGGTATTTATCAGCAATTTTAATTATCTGGTATTCAGAGAAGCATCATGGGCACACTGTAAAAGTGCTAATCAAAGGCACTGCTGCCAGAACCAAAACTCTTCCCCCTCCTCAATTAATGTGCCCTTATAAACTGGATTGAAGAAAAAAAGATACCTTCCTTATTTTTCTAAACTTTACAAGTGGGATGTGGAGACTGGTGGCTGAGAAAGACGCACCAGGCAAAATCTCTCAGATAAAAATTGTGCCACCCAACCAAATGTAGGTTTCAGATGTAACCTACTTTGTTCAATAGAGCTAAAGCCAATGTAAAGGCAGCATGCAATGTTGGACCTCTGCCTGCAGAACAACAGAGCTGGATCCCCCACCTGAAAAATTGAGTCTACAGGCTTGGAAAACTGCTCAGAGTTAGTTTTCCTGTGGCATGGAGTGCTGCAAGTAGGAACCGAAAGGAAGACAGTTTCATCGCAGTTGCTGATGGACTGTTGGATTCAGCACTGAATATCTAGACTTGCAGCCTTATGTATGGAGGGACAAATGCAAAAACCAGGTTCTGCAGCTAAAAATGTACAGATGCCCATAACAAAGACCAGGTAGTGCCATTACATTCACTGGAATATAATGATTGCTATGAAAAGATACATGTAAGATATTCTTAAGGAAGAGTCATGTCCTTTAGAAGAGTTTTTTTCCCAGTTTTCAGGCTTAGCAGAAAGCCCATTTATTATTAATAGGATTAGTGATTTTATTGCCACATATACTGAGCATATAATACCCAGTTTCCATCAATAAGTGCATCTCTGGAGATGTAGTTGGTAGGCCCAATTAATGTTTTATTAATTCAGTAAGAATCCTAGATAGACTTTTCAACATGATCTCATCTTCTCTGCTCACAGACACTCAGGGTAACATAAATAAATCTTGTGGTGCAGGCAGAATGAAAGGTCAGTGTTTCTGTGACATCTTAATTCACTTCTAAAGCAACAAGAGATCAATCAGTGATGCTGAACTGAAAAAAACCCCAAGATACTTCAGACCAATGCCTAGGCAATAAAAGGAAAACAAGGACAAATGCTGTCATTTATAAGGTATCTCAAACAGGGTGTTGCAAAATTCATAATCATTTTTGAACATTTTGGGGAGGCAGGAACAAATTTTAAAACTTTGGAATATTTTTGGAACATTATTAGGTCGCGTTCTGATAGTTGTTTACAAACTTAAAAATAAGATGCAACAAAATATAGCTGAAAGTGTGAAAATATGTAAAATAGAACATTAAATGTTTAAAAATACTGTGGACATCTATTCAATTGAAATTGACTGGAACATCTCGGTCAAGCAAAGGGAACTGAGCATATTTCCCACTAGTGAGATAAATTCAGACTTGATTCATCTTGCTGCTGTAAGTCAGAAAACTATTTTTTCCCTTTACTGCTAGAGAAGGGAATGGGTGTTTTCGGGGTGTGGTTAGTCTTGATAAAAACTCTTGTGGATTTTTTCGTACATTTCTGTAAAACGTGCAGTGTTACAGACTATCATGAGTGACTGCTGCTGAATCATAGAGGGAATAGCTTTGGATGGATTGTGTCCTTCTGATCAGTCACAAAATCAGCACATCTGTACCTAACTTTGAAAAATTGTCACCAGCTCTTCCTAGAGACAGGCATGTGTGAAGTGTGTTTTGCCTAATTTACAGAAACAATAAGGGTATGTTGAGGGAGTGGAGAGAATTGAGGTTTCGTCTTCTGATCTCTTCAGGGAGCTGAAGAATCCTCTGGATACTGCCTGACTTTGCTAAGACGGTCCGTCACGACTAAAATTCCAGTAATACATCTTCACACTTCTGCATCCCATCTGTGAGCTTTCCAGAAGGGTGGGTCTATCACAGGAAAGACCTTATCGCTTATGCCTGTTAATCTGATAGAAAACACCAATGACCACATGAGTCAGGCCTTCATGGCAGAACTTCAGTAATTCGGCCCCAGTTCATTGAGGGTGTTAAAGGAGATGAAGAGGACTTTGAAGTGAGCCTTCAGCTGGTATTGGTGCTAACATTGCCTACCACGAGACAGACATTTTGTTCTCAACTGAATCTTCTGAACAATTTAAAAGGGAGCTCCCCGTAGATTGCAATTAGAGATGGGGATGAGTCACCATTCTGGCGAGTCGTCCCACTTCATGAGTCGTCAAAAGCTGACGACTCACAAAGCACAAAGTTGATTCCATGAATGATGAATAACGAATTTATTCATCAATTCATGGGAGTTACTAAAAAAACACCTGTCCCCACCCCCACTGCCATCCACCACTACACTGCTGTTGCCCCCTCCACCCCACCTCATCCCTGCCACCCCCATTCTGGCGAGTCGTCCCACTTCATGAGTCGTCAAAAGCTGACGACTCACAAAGCACAAAGTTGATTCCATGAATGATGAATAACGAATTTATTCATCAATTCATGGGAGTTACTAAAAAAACACCTGTCCCCACCCCCACTGCCATCCACCACTACACTGCTGTTGCCCCCTCCACCCCACCTCATCCCTGCCACCCCCATACAAAGAAAAAAAGCCATCCTATGGCTTTTCCATTCTACCTACCCACCAATCAGTTGATCGGCGGGCCGATAGGCCGCCCCCCCCCCC